AAGACAATCACACTCACACGCCCGCATCATTCATCGATATATTCCAACAATAGTTGAGATATATTTATCAACATTTTTTTATCTTGATATCATGATTTTTATAAAACTGCATATTTACATATAACTTCGCTTTCTGTGAAGAAAATTGTTTGTGAAACAAACATAAATACAATATTTTTGTTTCACTTGGTGACTCAATAATGTAATCATAAAATTTCCAAAATTTAATAGAATATTTAAATATTTCTTAATAATCATTTGTATTCACTCTATGAATGATATATGTCTGTACATAAGTTCAGATAATTTTTATATATCTTTTTATATTTTCTTTTTAATAAAAAATTTAAAGCTAGATTAATTATTATACATATATTATTGTATGTATATATAATATACATACATTATACAGACATACATTATATAGACATACATATATTATGTATGAGTATTAATATGGATTTTAATAATTTTATAATATTCAACTTAATTTAATATATTTTAAATAATTCATAATTTTATAAAGGAGAACATATTTTATAGGTGATTCACTCAAAAAATGTATTACATATTGATAATCAAATATTTTTTGCAAATGCAATAAAGTTCATGCATACTATTTGCTACAGTTGCACTATTTTAAAAAAATTTTTTATCTTTGAAAAATATATTACTTGTTTCCCTTTTTTAGCATCAAATATTTTTTTACATCAAATATTTTTTATATTCTACATAAAAAAATATCACGATAATAAGTCGATAAAAAGTGAGCTAGCTTAAAAGATAAATTATGGAACTTTTTAATAATTTTTAATTTTTGTATTTAATTTTTTTTTTAAAAACTCATATTATAAATTTCCATGAAAACAGATAAAGCTTTTTAAAAATAAAAATTTCAATTTAAATAGAACACATGTGATATAAAAATAAAAATTTTTCTATACCAGGAGTAAATAATTTGTTCAATATTAAAAAATTTTCAATCGTTGTAACAAATATTGACTGCTATTCAATAAGTAGTACTAAAATAATATTAAATAGCTGTGACAATTAAATTTATGTCACTGAGAGTGTCATTTGTAATATTTACCTAGACAACTTGCTTCTGTTTGGAATGGACAGTTAGAAAGTTAAGGATGATACTAAATATTATTGTGATATTTAAAAAATATGTAAAAAAATATCAATGTAACATATGTTTTTCGACCATTATCGTTAGTTAGTCGATTTATTATTGTGCTACAGTATAATTCAATAACATGATATTACATTGTAAACAAACTTTGAGTGTTTACTCCGAACTAAAGTATTGTACAAATAATCTTATAGTCAATAATAAAATAATTACTCGATGATAAAATAATTGATTTACTTATTTCAAAGAAGATAACATGCAACAATACATTGAATAAATGTATAAAAAAAATATATGTTTAAAGAAGAATGTATTCGTATAATTCGAATAAAATTTGTCGTATGCTGTTCATTATTAGACTTTTAAATCTTTAATCATTTTAAATATCAAAGAAAATAAAACTAGTACCTAATAGTTTGATATTTTTATTTATCATATTAAACATTTTTTAATAAATATTCCAAAATAACTTATTTTCATAAAATTTTTATTATATAGATTCTAAAATGTTCATTCCATAAGAAGACATTTTAAATAGTTTTTATTTCTTTTCTTATAAAAATTTTATAGAAACAGATATTTTCTTAAACAAAATACATACGTTCAAACAGAATCTCTTCAAAAAGGCATCTTCTATTCGAAAACATTATTTTGATCCTTGATTTTAATCTTATTTTTGTGAAATATATATATAGTAAAAAACGAAAACAAAGACGTAATTGCGATTCTTAAGTTTACTTTCTTTGTTTTTTTCTACAATAAGTACTACAAAACTGAAGTTAAAGTAACTTTTAAATTCATTAATTTTCGATTATGTAAATACCCTAGTGCTCTTTTAATTTATGTAAATTGGCAAAAAGATTTAATGTAATTTAATGTATACAAAAAGTGGAAAAGTTTTCATTTGAAGATACAGTGTAATTGTAAAATATAATATATTTTATTGTTAGTGTAGTGTGATGGATCAAGTGTTATAGATTCGAAACGCTGAATTTTGAGGAAAATACGACTGCGTTGGTGAAGTATAGTAAAATAATGAAATGATTCCGACGAGATCGGGAAAACTAGACTGTATTAGTTTATGATTAGTCTCTCGAGAATTCACATGGTGATAGTTTACCGTAATATTCTACTGTAGCACTCTGTAATGTAGTGTAATCTCTGCAATGTTCTCGCCAACGCTGACGATGGGCCTGTTGCTCATTTGTCATAGTTACTCTGATGTAATTCATTTAAAAAACGATGAAATTAAAACATCGATGTCAACCGTTTCTAGAGGATACTAAAGACATGCAAATCAGCGATCGGAAATAACAACAATAAATGATCGCGACACAAAATTGCGAAAGAGCGTAACTGACATTAAAACTTCTTATGAAAAAGTAAACGAACCATTATCTTTGGCCATGAATATCTAAAATAAAACAATAAATTTATTCATACTGATAAGAAACCTAAACCTTTCTTAATTTAGAAGATTCTAAATAAAATTCGACCGCCTCGCAATGCATTAGAAAATGGTCCGATGATGGTATTTGTTCAAAGAATATATGTAAATATGCTATTCATCGTGATTCATCTTTTTCCTCTAATATTTTTATGTATTAGTGAAAAGAAAATTGTTCGTTACAGTTGTGTAGAGAAAGTTAGTACTATAGATATAGTGTAGAGAAAGATAGTACTATAAAGTCATATTGGAGGTCGATCATAAAATAGATACACAGGACCCTCCAACCTTCTAAGACCAGCGAAATTCCTCAAAGGAATAAGAACGCTATCTGTAGACTATAAAGGACAGTCGGAAGTACAGGCGAAATCAAGGTAAAACAAATCAGTTGGGATTGAGCACTCCCGAATGATGAAGAGTCCTTAAGTTCCCGATCAACCTCCGAGAAAGAAAATTGAGCAAACCTTCGTATTCAAAATTTCAGTAATCAGTGAACAGTGTGCCAAAAATCAAATAAAGACTCTAGGTGAGAATCAGAACCTCGACGTCCAAAAAAAACAAAAGACTCATCATCACACCACTACCATTAACAACGAAGCCGCAACAAGCCATTTGGGCATCAGCAGGCAAGGTATTTACATGGACGATGGCTAAGAAAAGACACTGAAGAACAACTCAAGATCACGATTTCAAGAAACAGGGCCACATCCTTAACAGACTGACCTGTGGTTGAAAACATGCAGTAAGGTGTGGATCACATCAATCCAGCCATTCCTACTAAAAACAGGTACAGCGTCTTCGCTGACTATCTGGTTAACGAGCTAGAAAATGAAAAATAAATTCTAACGAACAACACATTTCACACTGTAAATCTCCAAACAATTCCATCCATTATCACCCAAAAATACCCAGTCATCCAAACCCTCAACCATCTATATTCATAGCAATGTAAATCATGCTAAGTTCATCGATGTCCTAAAAGATAACGATAACAAAACTTTTCCAAACAAAATACACTTCAGGTAAATTCAAAATCATGTTCTCTAACATTAATGATTTCTCCGATTTCAAAACAATCTGTTTAACAAAGAACATAGAATATCACACCTATACAATTAACACAGAAAAAACTCTGACAATAGTCCTCAAAGGGCTAATCCGCCTTCTCGAACTCAGAATTTGCAATAATCTTAAATCTCAAGGTCTAATTCTCCATACATTGCACCGAAATTCCCACTCACGCCAAATACAGGATATACCGAATCACCTTTACCCCTAAAACTATCCTAACAAGTTAATCATATCACATACGTGGAAAACCTCAAAATATACTGGGACCAGTTTGCGTCAAGTACGTTGGACAGCACGACACAAGATCTTATAAAAAAATACCTGAAGCTCCCCCAACATGCGCCAACTGCAAAGGCGCACACCCTGCAAATTATTCAAAGTGCCCAATCCTACTAGCCTTCTCGGCAAAAAAGATCGCTAGCAATGTGTTAACCCAATACACGCAGTAATTCCTTCCAACACAAAACCTCTCCCACCTCATTTTCAGCAGAATTCTCATCTTCCCCCTCTCCTTCAGACAAACAACAAAATAAAACGAGAAATATCGTACGTAAAAATCGGTATCACCCCGATCATCCCCGTAGTCTCAACCAACTGAATTTCCGACTAACACAAATCTATTCGATCAGATAAACGAGCTGAACTTAGCAGATCTGGACCAATTCCTTAAAATCATAGCACTTATCCAAAAATATTATATGCACTGCACTAACAACCTTAAAACAGTCAGAGCAACTATCCCAATACTAAAAGAACTCGACAGTGGCCAGCCATTAATATCATTTCATGGAACGCCCCGAGCGTAAAGAACAAAATAGATGAACTTCACAAATTGTTAATACACCATAACACAGATATTGCATTTATTACCGAATCCTGGCTCACTCTAAAAGACATCATTAAAATTTCAAACTACGAAATATACAGAATAGACCATAAAAAATAAGCCAAGAGGCAGAGTGCTAATAGCTGTAGACAAAGATATTCCAACAGAGACACACCACAGCCTACCTCCCCTCCCCAACATAGAAATACTAATACTCAAGACCAAAACAGCGTCCAAACTTATCATTGGACTCCCCCCTGCTTCAGGATAAAATCAACCCCGTTGATCTAGATGCATATCACACGAATCTGATCACTATAACATAGCCGGCAACTTCAATGTGAAACACCATTTATGGAACAAATGAAACCAGCTTCAGGAATCACATGAAACTCCATAATTATCGTATCATTCACAGCTTCACCTACACTCACAGGAAACCAAACTGCACTTCTTCTTAACAAACGTCCCTTTTTTGTACACCTGCAACCATAACGAACTATTATCAAATAATTTACCTGTAATTCTTTCGCTCAAGACCCGAAACAACACAAGATGCCAGAACTCATCAGCACAGACAGACTAGAACGCCTTTGCAAAAATCTTCGCCACATTCAAAATAAACCTCCTGTTCAGACGCGGATTCGCGATTACGAAGGTTGTCTCCGGTCGGTTTTCCTTACGAAGTTATGTTGGCAAGGATAGTAAGGTTGTATTCTTTTGGACTTCGACGTAAGTTTCGTAATTGACTAATGAGTAATTG